GCTTTACGATGGCAACCACAGCTGTCGAATGTCATGACTTGCATCTCCTCAACTGTCGATCCACAACAAAGCAAGGCCCGCCGGGTGTACACTCTTCAGAGACACGAAACTCTAAGAAAACTGTGTTCTTCTTGTCGATGGATAAGAAAGCAGCACTGCCCAAACCAGCTGAAGCTGCGGTCACGACATCGCGTTACGATAGCAACCACAGCTATCCAATTCGATTTCATGTCTTTCAATGTTTCCACATCGGACTGTGTCCACTGCTATACATCGACCTTAAAGAAAGAAAACATTGCCTCGAACAGTTGAGGCTGCAGTCACGCCACTGCTTTACGATAGCAACCACAGCTATCGAATTCGATTTCATGTCTTTCAATGTTTCCACATCGGACTGTGTCCACTGCTATGCATCGACCGTAGAAAGAAGACATTGCCTCAAACAGCTGGGGCTGCGGTCACGCCACTGCGTTACGATAGCAACTACAGCTATCGAGTTCGATTTCATGTCTTTCAATGTTTCCACATCGGACTGTGCCCACTGCTATACATCGACCTTAAAGAAAGAAAACATTGCCTCGCACAGTTGAGGCTGCATCGCTTTACGATAGCAACCACAGCTGTCAAGTTTCTTTGCGATGACCTTTCAGCCAAAACTCTCGACCATCAACAAAACAAGGCTCGAAACGAGGCTGCCAAAGACCTTTTCGCGCGCGTGTTGGAGTTACTGGGACCAGAGCACGGCCAGGTCGGGAACCGCACGGCCAGGCCGGGAACCCACTCCAGTCAGGGCCTCGCTTTCTCGCAAGGCCGCCCCTCTCTGTAGATGTCAGGGCCGCTCTTTATATGTCGCCAAGCTCCTTTGAGGCATCTCGCAAAAACCTTTTTTTTTAAAAAAAAGATTCCAAGCATGCTTCGATGCTTCCACGATGATTGCTTTCGACGCTCAACGTAAAAAACATTGAACCCTGAACTCTGAAGCTTGAACCACGAACCCGAAACCCTGAACCTTCAAGCCTGAACCCTGAACCTGGAACCCTGATCTTAACGTGCGGTTCCCGGCCTGGCCGTGCTCAGGTCCCAGTAACGCACGCGCGCGCGCGAAAAGGTCTTTGGCAGCCTCGTTTCGACCCTTGTTTTGTTGATGGTCGAGAGTTTTGGCTGAAAGGTCATCGCAAAGAAACTTGACAGCTGTGGTTGCTATCGTAAAGCGATGGCGTGACCGCAGCCTCAGCTGTTTCAGGCAGTGCGGTGGCCCTTGCTTGGAAGTGTCTTGACATCATGTTGATTTTGTTAGGCGAAGCTGCCTGGCAGCTACATCAAGTGTGACAAGTTTACTTTACGTATCAGCCAGATCGAGCCTCACTTTAACCTCTCTCTACCTCTTAACATTCCTTGTGGTCGCAACCTTCTTGCGGCCAGGTTTTTGTCTTGAAAATGCACCAAATTCAAAGAGTGCAGCAACCATATAGGTACACGTAGCGAAGCAGTTTGAAGTTTGCCGTAATACGCTATTTCGTTAGGCAAACTGGCAAAAACATGCATCTTGACAGCAGCTTCTACGCTTTCAACCTGCCTCTAAAGCTTCATGTTCATACATGTTTTTGTTTTACTTTCTCTCGAATTTCAACCTGCCTCCAAAGCTTCATTTTCATACCTTTGTTTTTTAAGTGGCCCGAACTCGCAGACTTGAATCGATGCGAGACAAGCAGCCTAGCAAGACCGTTCCGGATAGACTCGATCTGCTGCTTGCACCTGTGCCTTCGAGGCGGGAGTTTTGGATCCTTCATGCAGCTGCAACATGCACATTCTTGAGAGTTAGGGTTTAGGGTTTAGGGCTCTCTTCTCTCGTTCTCACCTCCCCCCATACCATAAGCCCCAGCCCTAGCCCCAGCCCCAGGACGGTCAAAACGTCTCGCTCAAAAGGTTCGTTCAAAACGCTTCGCAGCCCCCCAACAAATTTGAAAACATGGTTCGCAAAAAAACTTTCGTTCAAAACGTTTCGTTCAGCACTTTCGGTCAAAACGTTTTTGGGACCCAAACCCTTAACAATTTCTATAAACCCCAACCCTAAACCCTAAACCATACCATGCAAACTCTGGGCCGGGAAGCTCCGCACCTCAGAAAGGCTGCAATCATTGCAGCTCCTGCTCTGAGAGCTCATTCTTGGAACGAGGGGACGACGTCTCCTGTGGAGTTTCATTAGGGTTTAGGGTTTAGGGGTTTAGGGTTTAGGGGTTTAGGGTTTAGGGGTTTAGGGGTTTAGGGTTTAGGGTTTAGGGGTTTAGGTTTTAAGTTGGGCTGAGCTCTTTAGCTGCTTATTTCATAGGGATTATCATCATCCCTGGCTGAGGCTTCTCAGAGCTTTAGGCCTCTACAAGGGATCTACTTTACATCGGCGCAGAGAGGGGTTTTGGGCAGAGTTGTAATCCCTCATAGCATGCCAGTCGTCATGTCGGACTTCTAGGCCCCAGGTCCCCCCAGGTCCTGGCTTGGCTCGTCATCTGAGGGCACAAACCCCAGAACGCTGCCAATCTCGGCACCATTCTCCTGAGCTGAACACCCATGTAAACAGGTAATGAAAACCCGGGAGTACCAGTAGCAAACTCGAGAATCGAGAAGGGGCCTGAAGAAGAGGGGCCTACAGTCTATCGTCGTCCTGTGCAGTCCCAAGGCATCCAAGCATCTTTTAAGGTTGTTTGCTTCCGCAGGATCTTCCGCTTGAATCCTTGGGACAAGCTGTCTACAACTGTGGTCGCCTAACGACGCAAGCAGGGAACTGAGTATGAAGTGATGGATGTCTGCGGAGGTGCGAAGGCTGTAACCATCGCCGGTTCCGCCCAAGCCTTCCAACCACTCATTGCTGCAGTTCGCCTCAAGCAAGCTTCGAGCTGCATCAGCATACCGGTGCTTCATGCAAAGGCCAGATTTCCGGATTTCTGGAGAGGAGTTTGCTTTCCACATTGTTTCATGTTCACGACTCGGAAAATCTTCACGGCCAATGTTTGCTAGCAAATTCACACCTTGGCTGGTCCGTTGCTTTAGTCACGCCTTCTGCTGCTGAGCGTGCTGGCAAACACGAAAATCTACCCAGCAGGTTCGACACCGAGCCACGATGATGTAGTCGGATGCTTGCGCGATGGTCCAGTTAAGATCCACATCTGCAGGCAGAATCTCGCCCGATGGCATCCGCACGAAGACCCTGGTTCGCCTTCTGGTGCAGACTGCTCTGATAATCTACCACACTTGGGAAGCAGGACTGCTATCTGTCGCTAGCAACAGCATGTCAAAACAACAAACCAGTCATAGCCGAAACACACGAGCAAAGATGAAGATAGCTCTAATCATGCCAGGTTGCAATTTCCAACGCATATCAATACACTGCACAGCACTCTCGGGCCCTAGACCCTAAACCCCAAACCCGTGCACCCTAAACCTAACTAAACCCTAAACCTCGGCATAACATACACCTCTTTTTTCCAAACCCCACCCCCCCCCCTCCCCCCTGCCCCCCCTGCGCTGCCCTGCCCTGCCCCTCCGTCCCTTGCCCCCTCCCCCCCCTCCCTCCCACTTCTTTCACATTCTGTCGCCTTGGCGGTCTCCGGCAAGCCGAGGGGGGCGGCGTAGCGTTGAAACTTTTATATCTTACTGTGATTTTTGGTATCACCCTCAACCCTAGGATGGCCAAAAACAACGGCGTCCCGGAAAAAAGCGCCTTGGATTCCTTCGGCGGCTGACGAGAGTCGGAGGTTCGGAGTTGGGCTCTGCCAACACCGTCCCAGCCTTATAGTAGGCAACATGTAATACATTTTTTTGTATATGTATATATATATATATATATACTCAATATGCAATAAATACTACGTGATATATAACATGCGATATCTAATATGCAACATACAATACATCATATCTTGGTTTAGGGATCCTAGGGTTTAGGGCTCAGGGTCTTTTTTAGAGTTTGGCTATTTCAAGCGTTTAGGGTTTAGGGGCTTTGGCTTTGGGAGTTTAAGGTTGCGGGGATTTTCGGGTTCAGCGATGATGGCGTCAAAAACACTTCTACGGCTTAGTCCGCGCCTCTACAACAGACCAGAAACCCTCAACCCAAAACAGCCAATCCCAAAGCCCTAAAGCCTAAATTGCTAGCAGTAGAATGATCAGATCATTAACTCTGCCTGCACAATGGCAAACAAGTAGCCAAAGCCGCAGCTGCCACCGGTAGTACCAAAGTTAGGGACAGTTAAGGTTTTAAGCAAGAGTTGGGCCTTAGCGTTTAGGAGTTGAGCAGGACAGCTACAAGGACGCACCTATTCTTGTATTGCTTTGGCAAAGAACGGTGCCAAGCTTACAAAGATGTTCTGCCTGGGGCTGTCGGCTTTGCAGACATCAAAACGACAAGCAGTCACTGTCCCAGCCACTGTGGCGATTGGAAGAGTCGGAGATGTCGGTATGGGAGATGGAACATCAAGCTCAATGTCCAGATCTCTCCTGTCCAGCGGCTGAGCTGGTTGAGGCTCTAGGCTGCGGGCTGATACATTGGATGAGTGCCTTCGGCAGCGGCAAAGCCATGCAAACATCTCGCGAGTCTCGGAGAGCGAGATGGAAGGGTGGTGTTGCAACCACTCGCGCATCTAATAAGAAGCCGAGACACTGATAAGGCGGCGACTCTTCCAGGTCTCGACCCTAATCTTCAGTAAAGGTAGGGTGAATCTTGCAAGCTCTCTTTGAAGAGGTGCATAAGTTCAGTTCACATGACGAGTTATTGAGAAACACGGCATTCTGGCATACTAGTAAGACCGTGCAAGCCAATTATAACAGAAAAGATCCGGAACATGTGCAAGTGCCTGCTTAGTGTGCCTGTTGGGCTGGTCATGCGGAAGCCAAAACAGCTGCGGACATGTGATGAGCCCTGATTGTTGCACACGTCACTTGGCCACTACATACAAATTGCAACATCCATCCACGTGGCACGGGAAAGCTGCTTGCACCAAGAAATCGACTTCAGCGCAGCAGTGTAGTGCTCGGTAGCTGCTGTCCAGTCCTGCGAGGCCCCATGCCAGCAGATCACGTTACCACGATGCAGCGCAATGACGCACATGCCCAGAGACTCCAATATCCCTTGATTAAAGAACCTAGTTTTTGAGGATCCTACAAAATTTGAACGTATCTTCCTGAATTGAGGGATATTGGAGTCTCTGGGTGTTTTTAACAATCTTCGCCAGAGCGTCCTTCTGAGCATAGGCAGCTCCACCACGCTGCTTGGCCTCGAGAGCGTCCTGTGCAGTCTTGGTACCTTATTTAGGGGTCCTTATAATAAGGATCCCACAACTTGGGGTACTATATTAGGGTCCCCTATTTTCGGAACCCACCTTTCTTGCACAGCACGCGAAGCGCGCGAAGTGCGGAGCAGGTCCTCGTTGCCAGGGGCTTCGGGCCCAGCCATCGCAGCATATGATGAGGAGCTTTTGGGGGATGAGCGTACCGCTTCGGGAGTTTGCGAACTTCAGGGTAAAGATGGCTTCGTGCTTCCACCTTTTGCGAGCTGGGGTTGGGGCCGGCGTATGATTCCCAGGGCCATGATTTCTTGCGCAACTTCCAGCATGAGCCAAAGATTACTTAAAGGATCATGGGACTTCGTAACGAGGGTCATAATTAAGGTAACTATACTTACAACTACATATCACCCCAATTAAGGTACTTATAGCCTTACTTACTAAGTCCCATGATCCTCCAAGAAGGCTTGCTTGGTCCGGCATGGTGAAGCCAGCTTCCGGCAACGAATCCGGGCTGACCGCAGCGAAGGCATGACACGCGGCTGGTGGGATAGGAAACATTATCAAGCCTGAGGTGTTCGATTCGCTGACGAAGCATCTGCAAAAGCTGTTCAAGGCCTTTTGAGCTGCCCGGGCTCGGGTTCCTGCAAATGCACTGCGCACAGCAGCGCGGGCGGCCCGGCAGGCATCCCGGTGCGAACGGACCATGAACCCGTGCGGGCCCTGCCCAGCAATAGAAATTGCGAAAACTCCTCCAAGCTTATTTTGCACAGGGAGACAGATTCTTCCCCGTCTGTCTCCTACCATTAGAAATGGCTAAAATCTAAAATGGATCTGAAAAGCCACGGCAATGGCCGCCGGTTCCGAGGACTTCAGCTGGCTGCGTAGCAGAGCTCGATCTTCGAATCCTGCAAGTTCCAGCCTGGGTGAAAGCCGAGCGCTGATGCAGGGAACCATTAAAGGAACCCTTTAAGGAACCCCTAAAACCCTAAAACCCTAAACCCTAAACCCTAAGCCCCTTAGCAAGAGCCAGCAAAGAACGAAGACTCTGTAGAAAGTGGGGGCCAAGCAGATCCCGGAGGTCGCCGAGCACTAAATCACAGAGGGCTTGTTATTCTTGCTAGACTTTAGACCCTACCTTAACCTACCGAAAAAAGAATCTGATTATGATTTCCTGATCTTGTCTTCCTTTTCTCAGCGCTCAGCTCCCTTCCAGCGGGGGGGTTAGAATAGGGTGTTGCGGCCCGTTATAGCATAATTATAACAAGGAACCCCCGAAACTACTATAGGCAATCATCAAGGCTATATTAAGCCCCTTGTCTACTTGTTCTCAGCTATCTTAAACCCTTTACCCTAAACCTTACCTTAACCCTGAAGAACCTACCTTTGTATGGTTCCCTACTGTGATTTGCTTATATAAGTCCTTAAAAAGGTAGGTTCTTCAGGGTTAAGGTAAGCCCTTCGTCTTCCCTTCTTCTCGGCTATCTTGAACCCTTTACCATAAACCCTAGACCCTACCCTAAACCCTACCCCCTAAACCCTAAACCCTAATAAACCCTAATAAACCCTAAACCCTAATAAACCCTAAACCCTAAACCCTAATAAACCCTAAACCCTAAACCCTAATAAACCCTAAACTCTAAGCCCTTCGTCTTCCCTTCTTCTCAGCTTTCTGCTCCCTTCCAGATCACCACCACCCGAGCCGGAGCCCGAGCGAACGACCGCCACCACGTGCTCGGGCCTGCCCAAGCCCGGAGTATATATATATATATATATATATATATGTGTGATATATGATATATGATATATGGTGTACGTTATATGATATATGATATATGACATATGATATATGATATATGATATATGAGATATATATATATATACATATACATATATATGAGTTTGGGTCGTTTTGGGGGCTTGAGTCGGCCGAGGGTTTGGGAGTTTAGGGTTTAGGGTTGAGGGTTTTGAGTTTGGGGTTGAGGTTTTTGCGGTTGAGGGTTTTGTGGTTTTAGGCTTTAGTCGGCTTTAGGGGTTTTGGGATCAAGATCAAAGGATTCATCGATTTCATACCAGTCAGGAAGCACCTTTCGCCCGGCTGCCAACGGAACAGGGCGAGCAGCTTGGCCTGTCCGCTGTGAAAGCAAGACTCCCTGGGCCCAAGATACCAAGACTTCAAGAGTGGCACACAACAGTAAGAATATGCAGCATGTGAGCATGTGGAGCAGAAGTATTGTGAAAGCTTAAAGCTTGCTGAACACTTTGACTTCACTTAGCATACTAAGTCACTGAGTTCTGTGCCCAGGCCTGCGCAGCCTCTCGAACATCGTCATCAACGGCAGCATCTCTCGGGTGGGCGTCCAAGAGACCAGGGTTCTCCTCTGAGAAGGCGACCACCTCACTGAGAAAGGCATCAGCTGCGAGCTGTTTTCTGGGGGCTTGCAAGTGAGCCGTAAGCACCAGACCAACTGATCCGAGGAATCCTCAGACGCGATCTTCAAGGAGCCCTGATAGGACACATCTTGAAGCGTTCCCCCGACTCAGTGCGTCGGAAAAGCATGCTTCATGCGAGTTCTGCCTCGAATCGCCACGCGAAGAAATCATGTCCGCAGCTCAACTGGCGGCGAGGATCAGTTGCTGTACGCTGTCAGTCATGCGGTTCAACAACCTTGCGGCAGCACTACGATCCCTTTCGGAATCAATGTTTTGATGACGCTGCTGGCATTGCTCCGGGCAGCCAACCGGGCAGCCGTAGGCAACTCTGCACATGCAAGGGGGGAGTTCCCATGACTACCACCCCGTCATGCGCTTGAAAAGATCTCGAGCGGGGGGACATGGGCAATTTTCGAATAAATTCTTGGGAAACTGCGAGAATCTTGAAAACTCGCAGCAGCGGTTCCGTTCGCGGCAGTGCATCAGAAAGTTTGAGTTTAAAGCTTCCTTGTGGCCTTACAGTTTACCTTCAACAGAACAAGGATGCCTGCTATGCCGAGGTCGTTCAGATACATCACAGGCACTTGGTGCCGGATGGCAGTATGTTACCGCTCCACCTTCCGGGCAAGTGGAGACCGATGGGCACAAAGATAGCTGTGGATTAAAATTGCACAGATCCCGATGCTCGGCAGTTTGCAGCCTTGCCCTAAACTCTTGACTCTAAAACCAGGCATATTCTAACTACCCACATGGGCAAAGCTGCGGAGGTCATGTACAAAGGTACATCGACCTGCAGTCGATCAAGATGTGCTTTTGTCGCTCATCTCGGCTTTCAGCTGCTGAACCACCTCCTCAGAGACCTGGTAGAATCACGAAGAACGGCCCACTCAGAATAGCTCATTGCATTCAGACGGATCAACAGGCCTTGATGATTTCCAACGACGAGAGAGCAGTCAGGACTTCAAGCGGCGAAAGCTTGACCTGTCTCCAGCACACAAACACACACAAACACACACACACACACAAAGAGGCAAACACACACACACACACACACACACACACGCGCAGGCACGTGTACGCACGTGTACGTACATACCTACCTACGTACATACATACATACATACTTACTTACACATATACATACACACACACATATACATATATAACGGAACCCTACAGCCCCTCGACTCTACACATACAGATGTAAACACATGCTCTATATTTCTATAAATATATACATATATGTGTGTATATATATACATATACATACATATGTATCTATATATATATATATATATTGTGCACATAAAGACATGTAGACAGACAGCAGGGTTCTGGGCAACTGCCGGTGTGCAGCAGCACGGCCTGAAGCTCCAGGTATTCCCGAGCTGCATCTTCCAGAACGATGTGCAAGTCCTGAGGGTGGTTTAGGGTTTGACGTTTAGGGTTTCGGGTTAAGGTTTAGGGCCTTCCATATTGGGTATTCGGACTGCTGCTGCGGCGATAAGGAAAGTTTCCAGAGAAACTGGAAACGAAAGAAGACCGGGAGCCACCGTTTACTAACCCTACTAAACCCTGAACCCTTCACCCTTTGTACTGTAAGCTTGTAAGCATCGTCTTCCCTCGACCTCGCCAAGGCTGCCGTTCGTCCCGGGTCCTTCAGCTCCGAAAAATGTCGGCTTTCTTTCACCTCCGCCGCGGCCTTGATGAGCATGTCCTTGCTGAAGACCTCGAGGTCCTCCTGGGAGGCGGTATCGCCATGGATCAACTTGAGAAGGCGAGGAGACTGCGATGATGATGATGACAATGGTGAGGATGCGGATGGTGATGACGATGATGATGGTGATCGTTACAATGACGACATTTATGAGCATGGTGCTGTCTACTGTACGGTTTATGATCGTGGTGGTGACGACGATGATGATTTGACTGTGATGGTGCTGCTGCTGGTGATGAGAGAGTGTGCAAACTCGACGTAGACGTTGACGTGACGGATGATCACAATGATGGCAACAGTGGCCGTGCTAAGAAGGAGGAAAAGGGAGGTGTAGAACCATGACGATGGTCCTGCTAATGATGGGGGCTGCTGCGCTTAACAGTGTCACGACGTCCAACGCATGCCATTGTCGACTATGACTATGATGACTATGATCATTCTCGCCGCCAGCCTGTTGTCAGTGCTACGGTTGTCTGTCTTCTTGGCGTTGTCCCTGCTGCTTATAAACATGATTGAAACCTGACCAACATTCTCACTCGTACAACTGACCAACTCTTCGGTGTTCGTACCAACACTACCAAGTCAGAGTGAGCGACATGCAATGAAATGTAATCATTATTGTGGCACGAACAAGAATGCTGTTTGGCAAAACCAATATAGCCTTTGCAATTTGTTAAAATCGTTGCCGTCTTTTGCGTCGTTCATATCTGAAAACATGAGAAATGTATAGTCATCATGTTTACTTGGAAACACCTTCTTTGGCACCAGCTGCTGCTTTGCTGTCCCCAGCGTTAGCAGTCTTGCCATTGCTGACAGTCTTGCCGCGCTATCAGAAGTCTGACTTTTGCTGCCTCTTCGGCTCTCTCGCTGGTAGGGCCCATGATTCCTTGAAGTACCCTGGCAAACAGTTATTACTCCGTACTACTGTTGTTAGTGCGACTATTGTTCTGTGCTGTGCTGCTGTTGGGGAGAAACCGTTTCGATGCCCCGTCCGAAGCCTCGCTGATAATCTCCATGGACACAGCCCGTGCCAAGGCCGTCTCAATGGCGTGCCAGCCCAGCTGGTTTCCCATCAGGGCCTGTGCCTGTAGGGGCTTAAGGCTCAGTGCATAGTTGAGGCTAGGGATTCGGGAGTGCAGACCAGTGGAATGTCAGCAAACAGACGGGAACCGGGGTGAACCTCGCAACCCGATGCAAAGACTCACTCTTGAACCTGTGCAGACCTTTTGCAAATCCCAAAAAACATCACACTATCACATTAAAAAGATGTGCGGTTATCCTGCGCACACAAAGGTAGCAACCACAAGATACTTTCTGATGGTAGCAATAGTGACAATACTGCTGCGATCACATGTATGAAGGTAGCAAGAACACTGATAACACGAGCAGAAAAACAAAGATTGCGATGCTCGCAAGGCCACCAAGCAAAAGCCTGGCAGAGAAAACGAACAAAACTTTGGTAAATGTACCAAAGTTAACTATATGTATACATACATGCGCACATACATAACTACTTCAGCACATACATACACGCCCACAGTTACTATACATACATACATACCTACATACATACATACATACGTACATACATACATACATGCATAAATAGTAACATAATTGCATACCTACATACTACGTACATACACACATACGTACATACCAACATAGCAGACATGCAAGCATGCATGCATGCATGCATACATGCATACTTACATGCATGCCTACATGCATGCCAACAGGCATGCGTGCATGCCGGCGGAGTACTCTCATATTTACGTACATGCATACATGCGTACAGACATACGTACATACGCACATACATACATACTTCCTTAGTTACTTACTCACATACTTACGTACTTACTTAGTGACCTGCCAACTTGCTTTTCTACCGACGTTTACGGACTTGCAAACCTACATCTACAGGCATGTTTAAATACCTACATACGTCTATACATACGTACATGCATACATAGATGCGCACATACATGCATACGTGCATGCCTGTGTACATCTATTTTATTGCTGGGTACTCTCTATATATATATATATATGTATATTGTGCGTGTAGACATGGACATATACATATACAGAGAGACAGAGAGAAAGAGAGCGAGAGAGAGAGAGAGAGACAGAGAGAGAGAGAGAGAGAGAGACAGACAGACAGAGAGAAAGAGAGAGAGAGAGACCTGATAATGAGGGTCCGGCCTTGAGGAGACCGAGCACCTGCAGCTCCTGTTGCTGCGATCTCTGCTTTGAGCTTGAGGTTTATGGGGTTTGCTTTCTGGTATGATCTGTGTCTTCAGGATTTGTATGTTTCCACGCTTTGGGCCCCTTTGGGGGGCCTTCAAGACTTCCGTTAGGGATCCTGATAAGGGTTGCTTTCGGCTTCAGCTGTTGGGGTTGTTAGGGTTTTGCCTGTGTTGCGGACTCCAGTGTTTTGCGGTTTCGAGTTTGGGGCGCTCAATTGAAAAAATAGAAAGAAGAAGGTGTTACTGTGTCTTAGGGTTGGGCGAGGGCTTTCTGACTTCCAATGGTGCCATCGATCGTAGGGTCGAGGAGATGTATTTAATGGCAGGCAGTGCAGTCTGGACCATGGCCTTCGTTTGTTAAAGCATGTGCACAAAAGCACAGCTCTTTCGGGCTTAGGATTTCGGGTTATAGGGCCTAAGGAGCTTCTCTGTAAAGTCTTTTGACTCACCCGTGATCCGCGTTAGCACGGAAACTCGAAGGTGGGAATCCGCTACTTCCGCAGGCATTTGCTCGACCACCCTAAACCCTAAACCCTGAACCATTGCAAGTCTCCTTGGGGAGTGCTTCCATCGAGTCGCGAAAGTGAGCATCGTCCTCCAAGCTCCAAGTGCAAGCTCGGCTTCCTAAACTCTCACATGGGAGTTCCGAAAATAGGGGTACCCTATGTTGGGGCCCTCATACTGAGGATCCTGCTATTTAGGGTACTATATCAGGGCCCCGACTTTTCGGAAACTCCCACGCTTTTGCTCCCGGCAACCCCTAAACCCGAAACCTGTGAGAGAATACCCTAAACCCTAAACCCCTAAACCCTAAACCCTAAACCCTCAACCCTAAACTCTAAACCCTAAACCCTAAACTCTAAACTATCCCCGACAAACTGCCAGTGCCAACACTTGATTCGTGCCTTCACCAGACGCCAGGCGGGGATGATGCCAGTTCTATCCTCGCTCGAAGCAAAGCTCCGAGACGAGGCATGCAGGTGTGTGTGTGTGTGTGTGTGTGTACACATATATATATATATATTTATTTATTTATTTATTTATTTATTTAGTTAGTTAGTTATGTATGTCCACCGAAGGATAGATATACATATGAAAAAATACATACAAATATATTTACACATACACACATGATTGGAAGCTGACAGACATACAGACATGTACACACACACAGACAGGCAGACAGGCAGACAGGCAGGCAGGCAGGCAGCAGACATGCAGGCAGACAAGCAGACAAACAGGCAGACATGCAAAGAAAGTCACACAGACACACTGACACACAGACTGAAATACGGACATGCACAATAAACCTATGCGGGCATACATATACACGTACAAACCGACATATTTTGCGGCTGTTGGCGGGAAAACCCACCCTTGGCTTCACTTCTTCTTGTAGGCTGTCTTTCATCCGTGTTTTCTTGTGGCCTACTCCTACTCCTCATGCAGTCACGAGCAAGCAAGACGGTGAACACCCAGTCCAACTCGTACAGGAGTATGTCCTCAGCTCACGACGCAGTTGCAAAGCTCGCCGCCAACAGTCGAAAGCAGCAACACGCCAAATCCCGTTTCCAGGCTGAAGCGGCAGGCCCCCCGTAAACCCTAAACCCTCAACCCATTCCACCCTGCAAGAGCACTTCAAGCCTAGAGGCTTTTGCTGCTCCCTCCCCAAAGACAGTTCTGTCCACCTGCGCAAACCAGTTCGGGACCTGCAAAGGGGCTCTGACGCAAAAACCCAGCAAACAACGATCAATCATGATCGACTTGCCTCTACAAGTTAAGCAAAGGACTGTAGTCAGCAGTGTTCATCTTTGATTGCAAACTGACGTGAAACACGACCATGAGGCTCTCGGCCTGAGCCAGCCCATCATTCACAGCAGGGACGACAAGCACGATCTGCCCCAGCGACTCCTCTGGGAGGCCATCTTCGGCTGATATAGGGGGACTTAGTGAAAAGACTGCTCAGGCACTCAAAACCCACTCCTGAACCTGGGTCCGAACACTGCGCCTGCCATGCCAGCTGAAGGGCGGTTTAGGGTTTAGGGGGCGGCTAGGACTTGGGCGAATCAAGCTCAGCACTCTCAAAACCAGGAATTGTGTCCTCATGAGCATGCCCTTCGACACGGCTCTCAGACGTCAATCACAGCGACAGACCGGGAATTTCTTGAAGTGTCCGAATCGAAACCGACCGGAGCCTTGTGCGCGGCCGGACCTTGGGTGCGCAGGCACTGACCAACAGCAAGCGGCTCCCTGGCTATGGAGCGGTTTCAGAAAACGGTAGACGCAACATAGCGTGATCCGCATTGCAAGATGAACTGGAGGGACTTATGGTACCCTTTATGGTGCCCTTGTAGGACCCGAATAGTACCCGGAAAGGGACTCCTAAAACGGGACCCCTTAGATTCAGAGCTTCTACCTCAGCTGGCGCCGTCGAGATGCCGAGGCGGTTGGGGAGGTAAGCTTCTTTCGTGGTGACCGCGATGGAGAGGACGACTCAAATCCTGAGGCCACTTAGGGCTTAGGGGTTTAGGGTGTAGCGGTGTCGGGTTTAGAGTGGAGGGTTTGGGAAAGCAGCCAGGAACTGGAAGCAATAGGAAACAACGCACGGGCCAGGAAATCTCCGAAACGCTGGCAAGGTGCCCAGCGGTCGGAGCCCGTGTGCCTTCCGCGGCTTTGCAAAGAAGGCTTTAAATGTCTAAGAATAGTTTGACTTTAGGGTTTGGGGTTTCGGGTTCAGAGTAATCTAGGGGCCTTCAGAATTAGAATAAGGTCTTGGGGTATATGATACAATGGTGAGATGAAAGACTAGAAACTGGATCTCTGGGATTTATGGTAAACTATAGTATGTTAACGTTTATATTTATACAGTATAACATAGTAGATTACGATATATTATAGTATGATATAGTATAACATAGCATAACTTGATATAGTACAAGATCCTGCAATCAATTTAGTAGAATATAGTGGTAACCATGCAGGCCCCTGTTGCAAAGGGCCAGCGCTGCCTTAGCGAAGGTCCGAGCGAGCAGCTGCATGTCCACAAGGTTTGGCCTCAGAGCTCAGGGTGCCCAAAAAAGAGGCCCTAAAACCCTAAACCCTCAAACCCATAAACCCTAAACCCCTAAACCCTAAACTCCTAAAACTCTAAACCATAAACGGCCCACCAATCTTTTTTCGCACCCTGTGTCGAAAAGCAGCAGAGAAGGCCATTTCAAGCATGTTGCGGGGAAGTCCAATGGCTTGCAGCCGACTGCATGATCCGCCGCACCTGACCGGAATCAAGACTCACAGTAGTCTTGGCGGACCCTGTTCACTGCGAGGCGCTTGGAGCTGAACCCTAAACCCTAAACCCAAAACTATTCATCATCCTCAATACGCTGCAGCAAGGCCGCAAGTCCAAAGCAGGGCTCTGAAATCCCGCAGTGGGCCTGCGCATCTGCAGGCACCTCGCTGAGCTTCGGAGCGTAGAGCTGGCGCGTGGTCTGAGCCACCTCAGGTGCCAGGAACGCGTGGAAAGCATAACAAAGGATACACAGTTAGGGCTTAGGGTTCAGGGTTTAATTAGGACACAGCGCCTGCTTGAACGGAGTACGGATGGCAAACATCCCATCTTCTCTGACTGGACTGGGCAATGCTTTGACTATACACGCACCTTGGCAACAGATGCCGCTAGTCATGCCTGTTGACATAGAGAAGGCGTGGGCACTTGAGGAGCGGGGAGGACAGAAAAAAAAAAACTCGGGCATAGCACTAAGCACATGTTGGATTTCGAGAATGCGTGACAGTTCCCTGGTCCTTGGAAACATGCCACTGCTTTGAAACATGACAGAGAGGCGGTATCCTTTATGTGGCTGGGTACTGGTACTTCGAACGATGTGCTTGTTCTGTGGCTCTGCGGTGGGTAATTCACGGCGGGTGTTGCAGGAGACACCCGGCTGCCGCCTGACGCAAGTAGCGCGCAGTTGATCGCAGTTGCAGGCAAGACCAACTGGAAAGAAGGTCACTGGATGAGAGCAGAGATACATTGGGGGGGGGGGGGGGGGGGGGGTTCCGAAGATAGGGGACCCCAAATAGTAGGATCCTTACTATAAGGACCCCAAAATAGGGTACCCCTCATTTTCGGAAACTTTGGTTTGCCTTATGCCAGTACAACGGAAACCTTACAAGGTCTCGGAATTATGCATCAAGTGGGGAGCACAAGCTCCAGCCAAAAGCATTCACAAGAGTTCGACCCGACCCAGTGTGCTGTGAGCACAAAACATCATTAAGGGTTGTAGAACTATGTCAACAAACCATGTCATTCGTGTTGAGCACATGAAGTGTCGCCACAGTGTCGCACGTGCAAACAGCGTTCTCGTGCAATTCCCGCCGTTTCCACCTGCTGGGAACCTTTGTAACTCTAGACAGCTTCGGTCTGGCTGCAAGCACATGACTTCTGAGCCTTTCTGGGAAAACGCACAGTAGCCGCTTGTGTTGGTGGCTTTGCTTATGATACACGAAACCACTCCAACGAGACACCTTGCTGAAACCCCACCAGCCATGAAATCCTACAATGTCCGAGATCGCGGCAACTTGGATAGTGTTCGACAGGGCAGAGAAGGTCTTGTCCACGCCTGTCGTGGCCTGCCACCCACCCGGTCACGCTTTAGCTTAAGGACACATGATTTTCTCAGCATGCCTGCTGATTCATCTGTTCAATGTCGAAGATGCACTGAAGTGATTCCTCATCGACATTTTAGGGAGAGTCCACCAACTTAAATCGTATCTCTGCCAAGGAACTGCGAGCGTGTGTATCAAATCTGGAAGCTTGTTGTTCGGGACGCCAGATCTCTGCAGGACGCCGGACTGCCACCTCCAATGCGCAGACCCGAGAGGTACCTCCCTGACCAAGAAACCCAAGCTCAGCACTGCACGATACAAACTCGTCCAAAGAGACGAACTCCTTGACTTCGAAGTCCTTCGATTGAAAAAGCTTCAGGTGCACACCAAAGGGTGCGGCATCCGATGCATCGAGCACTGAGCTGGTGACCACCACAAGGACATCTCCTTTGGCCTAAGAAGCAGACTCAACGAACGTTCCATCAACTGGGGGAAAGGATTTAGGGTCGAGGGTTTGTAGGGGCCAGCATGAAGCAGTGGTGACATCAAGCTGGACTGTCGAGACTTTGCAGGTTGTTGGACTATCGGCTTGGTTGCCATCCATCACAGATGCATCCAAGGCACGAGCGGATGCAGTCCTTGGCACAGAAGCACATTCTACCACTATGCTTTTGAATGCTCTGGGCCTGGATCTCTCTGTGCAGGCAGAAGCGCGCAGTGAATTTTGTAGAATCTGCGACAGCTCGTTGAACTCTTCCCTGGAGGGGAAAAAGCAGAAAGGTGCGGACCACAGTTTCCCCCTGCTGTTCATCAAGATGCCAAGCCCCAAGACCCCAAAGCCTGGGATCAATAAGCTTCTCTCAAGCCGTGCCAACATGCTCAGCCATGTCCACAGTCGTCATGTGCAGCTTACGGTGTCCTAAACAAACCGGGCCTCGTGATTTCGCCCGAGCCATCTTTGTCCCAGATTTCGAAAAGTGGCTTCAAGAGCCCCTTCAAGTCGAAGTCGGTGATCCATCCGTCATCCCCAACTGTATATTGGGCCAGCCTCAGCTGAGCCAGAGATACCACCCCTTAGGCGACCACAAAGTCTCTGCCATGAACGAGGCCAGGCAGCCTGTTTGTAAGCCAGCCCACAAACTCGCGATAGTCAATGACCTCGTCTTGAGCTTGGAATCTCCTACATGCGGGAGTTTCCAAAAATAGGGGACCCTAATATAGTACCCTAAATAGTAGGATCCTTATCATAAGGAGCCCAAAATAAGGTACCCCTAGTTTTCGGAAACTCGTACATGTAACAGTAGCAGCAATGCTGACGCCAGGCTGAGCTCACACGGAAGGTCTTTACGAATAGGAGCGAGTGAGCGGATGGCCAGGAAGGTTCAGTAAAGCCTTGTCGATCGCATGTTCTGACTCCGTATCCCCAAGGGCCTTCAAAGCTTCCTGGACGACGGGAACTCCACCGGAAAAGCTGTGAAAACCTTCGAAGGACCTCAATGTCCCAGCCCGGGTTGATCAGCGAGTTTAGACGTAGTTGTCAAGTTGTCTGCATATGTTGGTTTCTCTATTTCTTCAGGAAAACCTTCTCCACCTCGCAAAAGTGACTGCGCAGGTAGTCGTTACAGTATGCTGCGGCGGCGATGCAAGCTCCATGGCGGTAGTTGATCAACTCTGTAAGCGTTACCACACGAAAGCCAGCCCATCAAGAGGCCGCGTTTGTGACAATCCCCGGCTCACTAGCAACAATGCCTCCTCGCCAAAGTAGAGGCCGCGGATGATGGATTCTGTCGGAGGTTTCAACTATCCTAGTGATTCCTCCGGACTCCGCGGCACAAGCACTGGGCCTGGCAACAGCTTCCGGGCTCAGGAAATCCGCATCCCTGAAGTGAAGGGGATGAGATCCAAGTCCAATGCAAGCACCAGATCTGCAAAACGTCCGCCCTGAAACGGTGGTTGGCGACAGATTCCGAGTACCGACAGGGCGTGGACTAGACAAGGCTGCAAATTTTTTCACGCATGACTAGACGAATGTGGCTGTGAGAGCAAGTCGCTCCTGTCAGAAGAGAAAACGTAGAAGCTGTCTACAGGCTTCTTGAAATAAGATTGGCATGACAAGCCACACCATCGAGGTTGCTGTCAATGCACCCCAGTAGCACGTCGATCCTTAAGCTTTGCGGCAGACTGACAAGCCCGTCTTGTCGTTGCACCAGGGGTAACAGACCTTCGTGCCTGCAAACTACTGCAGCAGCTTGCGGACGGAAGTTCTGACACATCAACGAAGGTGATGAAATCGGAACGAACCCAAAATGAAGTCGCTTATGTGGCGCCCAACCTTTGTAGTCAAGACTCTGGTCCTGGCTGAGACTCGGAGACACCTGATCGTCCCGCTCAGCCAAGCCACGAATCTGCAAAGGCTTGCGTGTGACGCCTTGTACATGATGCTGGCTAGCTCGTCGCGGTCGATAAATCCACTGTGATCCTGGAAGCAGGCACTGTTGGCCACGTCGACCTGACCCCTTCCGAGCCTACAGATGGGCTCTGGCGGTTGCATGCCCCCGTCCTCATCCCACCTCTTAAAGATATCCAGGATGACCTCAGCGCTGTTACATGTGCCAGCTTGCATGCAATCAAACTCAATGCTGCTGATTCACTACATGCTTCAAACTTGTGCAAAACTACGCCAAGCTTCGTTTTCGTTCCCTTGCGCGAATGCCGCGGTTGAACCCAACAGTTCGGCAGCAGACATCGTGAGCCTCAGGGTCTCAGACGTAGGATGATGCAGATGTGTTGATGCTGGTGAGAAGCATGATGCCACCCGACATCTTCTTGCAGCCAGACCGCCGGATCTGGGTCTTTGCTTGGCAAAGCACAGGCTGGCTCAATCGACACTAAACAGGCCCATGTGCTTAGCAAGGGCCTCTGTTGTGTTCATGCAATCCACATCTTCAGGCTACGGTTGACAATTGCTGGCTAGGCCAGTGCAAGGTCAGACGAAGCCTGGGATCAATTTTTTTTGCACATAATCGAACTGAAGATGCCGCAAGTCCCAAGTATGTTCTGCCACATCTGCTGGTGCTTGGGCCCAGAATTCGGAAGAAGCAGGAATACAACATGTGAGAGTATAGTAGTTTCATGTAACTTAGCATTATGCAATATAGTATAATATAGTATAACCCAACATAATGCAGCAGAATATAACATAGCATCTTATGTTATAGGGTTTAGGGCTAGGGGTTTCGGGGATTGAGGGGGTCCTTTAAAGGGTACTTCCGGGGTTCCTTTAAGGGATCTCTAGGGGCGGGGACCCCGCAGACGCCTGACCGCTCCGAAAAAAGCCCGGCCTGGACGCGCCGTCGCGTGGCCGCCGCGCCCTCGTCGGCGCCTCAAAGGGATCCCAACATCCCATGAAACTTACCTTTGGTTAGTAGGGAATGGAGGAATGGGGTACAATTATAACTACTACTATTACTACCATTCTTCCATTCCCTACTAACCAGAGGTAAGATGAAAGAGGAAGAGTGAGTGTAATAGGGTTTAGGGTTTAGGGCCATAAAGGTGAGGAGTGAGTGTAGTAAATACTGAATTACTATATATAATATAGTATTCATATAGTATAGTATGGCATATGAGAGGGGAAGAGTGCATGCAATATGCCATAGTGTAGTGCAATATAGTGGAGCAGCTACTATATACAGTGTCGTTTTCATATAGTATAGTATAGTATATTTGTGACATATACTATACAGTAGATACTAGCAGAATACTATCGGCCCCACCGCTTCAACTGAGAATGCCACTTGGTGTTGCTGCTCGACCAGCTTCGACGGAGTGACGGTGCCCACAGGTTGTGCAGACGGCACACAGCAGTTCCTGCACAGATTCACGAGCTTTTGGACGATCCTAGACAATGCACGTATAGGTGTAAGCGTCCGTGTGCTTCAAAGCCGATTGAAGGAAAGCTCTCTTTCTGCTGAGTCCGAGTGCGACCCTCCACAGGAGCAATCACAGCAGTGCAACGAACACTCTGCTTGCTGGGCAGCCTCCACATTGAGTGATGTCAAAAAGGTGGAACCACCCTGAAAGCCGCAGATCCCGTGCACAGCGAAGGATTTGAGGAGGAGGTTGCTTTCCGCCTGGCGGGACCAGCTCTCAGCGTTTCCTTTCCGGCCCTTTTTTCACAGCAAAGTCGTCTTGAGGGAGGTACCTTCAAATTGGTGTTTGTGAAGACAAACGCCATGGCACGATCCCTATGATCAGTTAGTACGAAACCGCATCGAGCCCCATAAATCCCCATGATTAGTATGAAACCGCATCGAACCCCATGAAGCGCTTCTGAAATCTGCGAAACCCTCAACGCGATGCGTGGCCCTGTTGGCCTCCGGATGTAGAGCTGCGCTGATTGAATGTGCCTGCAAGTCTGGGATAGCCACACTAATGTACCAATAAATCATACTCTAGCACTAATGCTATAATTATAACAATCATACGATACAAATAATCAAAGTAAGAACAGTAACAGGCAGTTGATGATGACCTTGACATTCTCATGGTGGGCCAGCGCCTCAGCCTCCTCACCGTAAGAAGTCGTAAGACGTCCGCGTCGATTTGGATGGAGGCGGAGCTCTGGCCCATCTCTTCCGGCCTCCACATGCGCATCAATTCAGGAGGTTTCTGAGAAGGGGGCATCTCCTGAAGAGAGCAGCTCATGCCATAATGTAGGGGCCTTAATAATTAGAATAGGGTTTCGGGGGCTCCTTATTATGGCAATAATATCTTATACCCCAAAATCCCTATTCTAATTCTAACTACTAACGACCCCTTAAGGTGCAGTGGACTAGTTTGATCTCTGCGAAACACTGAACCCGGTGCATACTTTGTTCCAGCATAGGCAGCACAGTGTATGATAGTGTACGGGTCTGCAAGATCAATTGATAGCACCCCTTTCGAAACCATGGCTGCGGTAACTTTAAGATGCAGTCTTCAAAGCACTGAGACCCGAAAATAAAACGCTCCGTGACGTGGAAGTGGTCCTACGCCCTACGCAAGACCCCGGCAGCACCCCTAGTGAGATCCTCCACATCTGCCCCTCATCCTGCACGCCACGGGTGCCTAAAGCCTGAACTCCGAACCACTTGGAAAGAAGCCCGGGTTAACCTGGTGTCCTTTCTCGGAATCGAGATTTGCAACACTGAAAGTTCAAGTTCCATCACTTTTAGGGCTGGCTTCCAAGCACAGCTTTCGTCAGAAATCGTGGGGAAAAGTGAGAATGCAAGCGCAGAATCGGGCGACTTTACGAAGCCCTCACTTGTGGCAGAGAATACCGATGTCTTGAAGCCGCGGTGGCTGCGTCTCTCACTGTTCTTGGGGTGCCCTCTGGAGTATAGACGGGGGCCATATGGCAAGCCGTATATTTTTTGTGGAGACTTTTTGAAGAGCACAAAGTCTTCCGCAGGAAGCAGTATCCAGTTTCTTGTCTAGGTGGCTTTTCGAGGCTTTGCTGCAACACATCCGACACTCTGTCCAAGGATCGTGTGCCACAGCTTCCACGAACTCTGCGATTTCACATCTCTGCAAAATCAAAATGCCGACAGCACAACGAAAGGACCAGGATCTGCGGAGCATGAGTGTCATCAGGCCCCCGCCTCCCATCCCTACCCTCCCGACTTTGAATCTTCCCCGCCACGCCTCTTACAACCACCCTCACAATGCTACCTTCTGACACTTAAGGGGCTGGCCCCTGTTCGGAAACCCCCCAATTTAAAATAGGGGCCCTAACATAGTACCCTAGATAGTAGGATCCTTATCATTAGGACCCCCAAATAAGGTACCCCTAACGGCCCTAACTTTCGGAAACTCCCAGCTCTGAAGCCTAAACCGACATCGGTTCCTCCCGGGCCTCGGCGTCTGGCGGAGCCGGGGGAGCAGGCAGGGCGAGTAATGAAGTTCGCCTGGCCGCAGAAGCAGGAGCCCAATGCAAACAGAAAGACACACACACACACACGTGTGTGCACAAGAAAAGCAAACAGCACACGCAAACACATCCGGACACAAAGATAAAGAGGAGCAGCAATTTCACATTCTGCTTGTAGTTGAACTCTCGAATTTCACAAGTACGATCTGTCTATCGTAGAGTATCAAGGAATGGGGTAACATCCTCACGAGGTTGAGGGAACCGGAGAAAAAAGCCACGGTGGCCTGCGACTGCTGTTGGGAGGAGGCAGTGACCGGAATGCCGCAACATCCGTCTCGAAATCCTTGGACTGAGCAGGGCACCACAGCGCTAATGGCCAAAATGGGTCCGCGATGTCTGGAGTGTGGATCCCCCGACGATTGCTCGTGAGAATATCTTGCTCTAATCCGGAAGCTCTGCATGCCGAGTGCACTCCTTATCTAGCATACTGAGTTAATGCGCTTCGCCCGCAAGCTGGAACACTGCTAGGGCTAGAGCTAGGACACATCGACATTGACATGGCTCGAGAAAAAGATGAGGTGTGCTATCAGCAGCAGGACAACAACAACAGGTGCGCATCTCTTAGAATAATACAAACAATAGCAATAATATGAGTATTACTACCACTATTCCTACTATTATCACTAGTTTGTCGTAGAATCTATAATGGGCACCCTAAACCCTATGTAAATATCCCCTAGACCCTAAACCCCAATATCCCCTAAAGGGGCATCTCTTAGATCCCTGCACCTCTCTCTGGGGCTCAGGCTCGATCATCGCTTCGATTTCCGGCTCGTGTAACGACATCGAGGCACCTGCTCTCGGAAATTACACCCTGGCCCAAAAGGTTTAGGGTTTAGGATTTAGGGTTTAGGATTTTAGGGTTTAGGCCTTAGGGTTAACCTGGTGAACTATGGTAGGTAAATATACACCCCCAATCATACCGACAGCCAGACCTTGGGGTTTGGGGGTTTAGTGTTTAGCGGGGTTTTAGGGGTGGTGGGGCTTACGGTTTAGGGTTTAGTGGGTTCAGGACTAGTGGGGCCCATCAGATTCACAACAGGAGCTTTTGATACCAATACCTCCCATGATGACGGTACGAGAGCAGCATATAGGAAACTCCGAGCACCTATCATTTCTCATCCATATGGGTGGTTGTCAAAATTATGTTACCTCCTTGGGTACCTTAAATATTAGGTGCCGTACTTTCTTAGGGACCCAAAAAGGACCATACTTTTGACAACCATCCATATAACCCTCAACCCCAGCCAGACATTGCAACACAACCGTCTGGTGCCTAATTAGTAGGGAATGGGGGAATGGATCCCTATACATAATACTATAGTAGTCCCTCTACAATCCCCAATAGCAGTCTCTGTAATCCATTCCTGCATTCCCTACTAAGAACCAGACAGATAAGGGAGTTTCCGAAAATCGGGGACCCTAATATAGTACCCTAAATAGTAGGATCCTTACTGTAAGGACTCCAAAAGAAGGTACCCCTAATTTTCGGAAACTCCCATAAGGTCAGTGAGCGCGCGCGGAGGGAGGTACCCAATCCCAGGCCCTCGAACTGAGGTGGCCACCACTTTGGTACTCGCGTGACCTCAGGGGTGTGCGACTCGTCGCTGCTTCGAAACCACTGTCTCTGAGAATAATATCAATAATAGTAATAATATTGGTATTTCCACTACAATACTACTACTATTAGCATCACTATTTTATGAAAACTTACTTGAATGGAACTGGCTGCAACTCATTTAGTCTGCTCTCTTCCACTTCTCAACATCCTTACG